CCTACGGCTTCCAGGAACTTTCATCGATTTCGGCCCCAAGGAAATTCACATCTTCAGCCCCTGGCCTTCACAGCTATGCTTCTCTTGCCCCGCACCCTGCCCATCCCTCCCTTCCTTCACACTTGTCATCCCTTTCCAGCAGGAAATAGCCAGAGGATTTCATGATCTCATCACCCCACTCCCAACACAAAAACAAAAGGGAGAAATGTTGGGTGTGCGGGAGACTCTCTGCTGAAGTAAAGTTTCCATCTCAGGAGAACATCACAGAATCCCTTACCCCTCCCCCTCCCCTCCAAAGGGTGCCAAGCCAAGAGCACCAAATTCAAAGGTTTTCTGGAACCAATCCCCGCAGGACACAGTGTCCACTCACTGTTCCTGAGTCACCCTGTCAATTAGCACCAGCCACACCCCCCTATGCTACCCTTCTTAAGCTAAAGCTTGTAAGCACATGCTCTCTTCTGTCTTCTCTCTGTCCTCAGCCCTCTTTTTCTCTTCCTCTCTGCCCTCTTCCTCTTCTTTCTCTCTTCTCTCTACCCTTTCTTTCTCTCTGCTCTCTTCCTCTGCACTCTTTCTCTTTCTCTCTGCCTCTCCATTTCTTCCCCTTTGGGCAGCCCCCCAATAAAATCTCTTGGTTGAATCTCCATCACAGGTGACTCACTCACCTTTCAAAAACAGTTTTGCATTTTAAGGTAGTTCTTTAAATGGGCTAGAGGAGGACAGCAAATAAGGGAAGTACATTACCACTATTAAGAGATCACTCAAAGGTCCTCCTGATAGGTTAAGTCCTTGAGAAGGGCAGGGTCTCAGCAAGACCCTTCTGTTGGATGATGGGGAACACCAGCTATCATAGTCTGATGTAGCATCTTTGCTAAAGTTAGAATATTCATTTACAAAAGTGTTGTCAGAGACATTTGTCAGGACTTAGTGTGAAGGATCAGAGGCACAAAGGATCAGACAAGGCTTGAGGAGAGGATTACCAAAAGAAGATCTCTAAGAGACCTCTCTTTACTTCATTCTTCACATGTCAGTTACAACATGTGAATTTGTTTGCTGAGCATAAGGGCCTGATTTAGACCCTCCCTGAATAATGAATGCTCCCAAGGAAACACTGCTTTCCTGCCTTTTAGAAAAGCAGAGAAACTAAAAACTGGATTAAAACCACCAATTCATGAGAACAAACTCAAATCACTAGATATTTACTTAGTACTTTGTCATCTTTCTTCCACCAGATAGAGGAAGTAAAATATCACTCTGCTTACTAGTAAGGAGACTAGCAGTAGGGAGTAAGGGTGGTAGCTCTGCCTCTTCCTTTTGCCTGGGACTGACAAAGTAAGGCCACTGCAGCTATGCCATTTTAGTCCTTCCTCTTGGAAAGAAGGAAAGCTCTGGAATGTGTGTTTGACCATCAAAGTCTAGACTTCCTCATATGCCTGACCCACCATGAGAGGAAGAGTATCAGCTTGCTCCCCTGTAAGGGTTTCCAGTTGTGAGAACTCCAAGTATGTAAATGAATGCTTCAGAGCTACTTACACCAGAGAGTAGAGATATGCCTCACAAACAGCCATGCATCATCGGGGAGAGGGTTGGCTCTGGGTCTAAATCTCATGGTTGTATAAAGGAAATCTAATGGTAATTGGGCTTTTCCTACCTTTCATCTCAAAACAACAAGGATCTAGACCAATGTGAGCTGATAACTTATTTCTAACATCTGATCTGTGGCAGATTGATGCCATATCACTGATGTTAAACAGTAATCTGTGAAATCAATTGTTAGCAGCAGTTAGCCAGATTGCCTCTCTGCTCTGGGCTGCTAATAGGCTCCAAAACTGGGCTGTGATGGAAGTAATCTCTAATGTTGAATGAATTTATGGCAATAATTACCCAGATGGAATGGTTCAAGTGGCTGACATGATTGTTAGTTAAGTGATATTTATAAGACAGAAAGTACTCAGTCACAATGCTTGGAAGAAACAGAGGGCAGGACTTTTGGGGGGAAGGCTGATGCTATCTGAGCAAAGAGGGTACAAGGAGGCACAGACAAAGAAGAGGGAGGTGCCAGCTTGTTGGAATTAACATATCCATCCCTAAATTTCTCTCCCTGAAACAGAACTGCCCCAGAGGAAGAGCGAGTTCCCTCCTGGACAGCTCATCTCTCTGGCCTCTCCAAACATGCTATTCCCCTGGCTGCTGTTTTCAAGCTTTGTGTTAACATCCAGTAATGACATAAAAAAGCAGCTATGTCATTCTGTGAAGACAAAGGGGTTGTTTCTCCAGGGAAATTGTTTAAATCACCCTCAAAACTGAACCCTGGCCAGAAGCAGGCGATCTGGTTATAGCAATAGGCATCTCAATGCTTTCCTTTTTCAATTCACTTTTTTACCTTTCACTTATTGTAAAAAGCCCATATCAGATGATTTTGGTGATAAATATGAGTTAGAATAATGAAACATTGCTAAAAAGCTCTTAGGCACCCAAAACCTTTCCATTCTTTATTGTATTCTTGTTAGACCAGTGATCAGGAACAGCTCTCAGGACTGAACTGAGTGACTCATATTCTATGCCTTAACATTCCTCTAGATGGTATCCCCAAATAAGTCCAACTGGGGCTTTGTAAAAGTCAGAACTATTATGCGTAGACATCATACACAGGGTAAACTTACTCTCTAGTGTTGGGAGGCTTGTGGGGTGGGGCTGGTGAGATGCAAGGGGGAAGCAAGCAGATAGTGGTGGCTTCCTCCAGGCGTTGCTTCTTCTCAGGGATTTTCTCTGCAACTTCTGCTGGCTTTGATGGAAAAAAGAATATACAGAACTTGAAATACTTGGTGCATTGAGACAAGGATGTTTCACACATTAAAAAATGAACAAAATAGACAGTTAGCTTCTAGTTTAACTTCTAGATTAAGTAAGGGAGTTAAATGTGCACCTTTGATCAGACAGAAAAGCAATCAACCTAGTCAACCTAGTCCTACTTAGAAGTTGGCATGTGAGAGAGGTAAATGGTGATATGAACCTCTGATTAAAGATTGGCTGGGATGGGAATGTCATAACAAATGTAAAGAGGCTTTATCATTTTTAAACATTTCTCTCATCAATAATGTCTTCACAAATGAGTACCTATGAAACTAACATTATAACTCTAGCATGGCATAAATCCCATCCAAACACAAATGGCATTGTGGTTGACCACATAGAAGCTGGTCCTAAGACCAACAACATACAAGGAGCAAGGAAATTGAGGCACACACAGGCATGCCTCTGGACATTTGCATGAGTTGGTTCTGATGGTACATTTTCAAGCCTGGTTATATCATTCTCATGACCAAGAGAGAAGCATCCATGACAGGGCAAGAGGCCCAGATCTCTTGTTCCTTATTTTGGAATACTCTCATTGGATATATTAGTGCATGACTAAGAGATAAACCTTCTGCTTTTCAACCCCTAAATTAAAGTTGAATGGAGACTTAAATCATTCTTGCAATATCCGATTCAACAGACAAATATTGGCTCTGGTTAGCCTACAACTCATTGAGGAATCTGAATCATTTCTGGCATACTAAAGTCTCTCCTGGAAAGACAGAAGATATGGGGAAAGGACTAGGAATCTCTGTCTAGCTACTGTGGCAGCTGTTAGAAATAAGTTGTTGGAATATCACTGACACAATGTTATTCTAAAAAAAAATCCTGAGATAAATCAGGACAAGCTTATTGGACACAAACTCATCTCTCTGGAAAAATTCCAAACAAATGGATTTCCCCTTTTTGATGATATTTTGTTGTCCTAGAATTCAGCACAAACCACCTATAGGTAAGGTTTTCACAAAGCAAGCCTCCCACAGTGGTCAGTGATTCTAGAGGCTGGGCAAAATATATGTCTGCTTGGAGCCAGGATACTGCCAGGATAATTAGATTGTGTTACTGTTTGTCCAGAGAAATGAACAAAAGAGGATGCATTGGACATTGTGGCTAGTTCATGAGATAGGAGCAGTTCCTGGAACTGGCTACCTGGGGAAGGGAACTCAATATATTCTTCTTTCCTGATCATCATAACCTCTCATGTGCCATGCTGGACACTCTTGCCACTGGCTGCCAAACCCTGGTCATTCCTAGTGCTTCATCCCTGGTCACATATCTAATATTGCATCTCCTCTAGAATGTATTGTTGCTTTCTCCAAAATAAGATTCAAGCCATGTGCACTGGTGAATACCTGTAATCTCAGGGGCTCTGGAGGCTGAGGCAGGAGGATTGTGAATTGAAAGCCAGCCTTAGTAAATCAGCAAGACCCTATGCAACTTAGTGAGACCCCATCTCAAAATAAATAAATGAATAAATAAATAAATAAAAAGGGATGAGGATGTGGCTCAGCACTTAAGTGCCCCTGAGTTCAATGCTCAATACCCCCCCCCCGAAAAAAAAAAAATGAGACTCAAGATCATGTTAGGCAATAGTCACTGGTCATGATCACTTGACAGTCCCATTGGACAGCTTACCTTGTGCTTACGTTTGCCCTTAGGGGCTGGTTTTTCTGCAGCTGCAGTAGCACTCTGGCGCTTGGGTTTTGAGGCAGTTTCCTTGTGGTCTGACTTGGCAGGTACTGCTGTTAGTGTATTGTGGCCAGGCACTCTAGAAAGCAAGTCAAGGTTGATCTTCACCCAGAGGTTTTTCAGATTCTCCTGATCTCGCAGAGGGGACAGAAGCTCTGTTTGCATGACAGGAATGGGGGAGAAAGCTGGCTCCTCATTACTGACAGATAAGTTGTTGCTGCTGGTACTGTTGCTGATTAAGGTGCTGAGGGTCAGGCCGGCCCCAGCAGTTTCCCTGGACTTGGTAGTATTAGATCCAGGAACAATGCAAGGAGGCAGGACTTTGATCTGCAGGGTCTCTTCCTGATCTGTGTTGGAGTCAGATGTGGACGAATCTGTTTCAATGAATTCCCGAGACTTTGGCACGATCTTTCCAGGGCCTCTGTACTTCTTTTTCTCAGCAGCCAAAGGTATGTGAGGCCTTGGTTCTTTCCTAGGAACTGGTTTGTGGGCCGTGGCTTTGTTGCGGCTTCTTGGTGGCTCAGGAAGCTCCAAGCTTTCTTTTTCTTTGGGAGTGCTGCTGGTAATATTTGGTTTAGGCCAGGTAAACTCCTCAATGCTGGTGTTTTTCTCGACTTTTTTGGGCTGTTTCTTTCCAATTGTCCTTTGAGAAGCTGTCTCCACAGTTGTTGACAACTTATGCTTTAAAGCCTTTGTTTCTGGAGTTTTGGGGGTGGGCCGTGGTCGGGCTTTCTCCCTAATGAGACTCAGGAGAGGCCTTTCTTTGGGTTCAGCCAGAACCTGGCTGGGGTTGGATTTTACTTTGATCTGAACTTCCATTGGTTGGATGATTGGAGGAGGCAGAGAGATGGTCTCCATGGGTGTTTCATTTTGGCCACAAATAAATGACTTGTTCTGAGATGTCACTTTGTTAAGCCATTTGTCAAGCTGCCACTTGTTGGTTGAGGGCGGCTCAGGCTGTAGATTGATAAAATGAAACAAGAATGAATTTTACATTTAGGGAGAATTTAAGAGAACCCTGAGTACAGGGGCTCTTTGCTAATAAAAGCTTTGGATGCTAAGGTACCATTCACACACACACAAACACACACACACACACACACACACACACTCATATGTGCATGTACACACACTTGTACTATCCACAATAATCAAATTAGATAGACCAATATAAACCAGTTGCAGTCTACTTATTTAAATTAAGTTCTGCTCTTCTGAAAATATTCTCCACTCTAGCCAGGGAGGTAAGAAATATTTGCAAAGAAAAAGTTTCAAATGGTAAGTAGGGGTGCCTCAGATAGAAATCTGTTCCCAAATCCTTTGCTGGGAAGCATCACTCAATCTCTCACTAGGAGGCAGAGGCAATGGTCTCTGATCCTGAAAGGAAATTTAAATGTGCCTCAAGTGTAATTCAAAAGGAAAAGCTTTCCATCTACCAAAGTGTCAATGCCTCCCATATGATGCTGTAATTCACTACAAACAGACCAAGCCTTTTGTATTTTTACTGAAGGATAAAAAGATTTGACTTCCAAAAAACCACTGCACTTTTCTAGGTATATGGACAATAACCAATTTATGAGGATATGCATGCAGACATTAGTGTCTACTGTTAGGCCATGGAAATGATGCATACAATTCAGATTCTTTATTCCACCTCTGAATCACGCCAGTTGAACAGAAAAGAACCACCATTTTTATTATAAGAAATCTTCTTTTGAAAGCCATCAGGTGAGGCTTATGGCACCAGCCAATAGAGGGTGACAGAATTAAAAACACTTGAGTAGCTATGATTTCAATCAGCACAGGGCAATGGTAGATAAAAGTTGAGAAAATTGTATTGGCTACCATTTTTGGCAGCATAGCTCCAGGGCCATAAATCCTGGCTCTGGCAACACACTGGGTTTCAGTCCTGGCTCTGGTATTGTATATCTATGAGATCTTCGGAAAATTATTTTTTAACCACTCAGAAACTTATGCTGTCATCCATAAAATGGAGAGCTAGCAAGTAACATATAAGGTTGTTAGGAAGATGAAAGTGAGAAAATGCAAGGCAAGAGCTTAGCACAGTACCTGGCACATGGCCCATGTTCAGTGTTTGCTGTTATTAATAGCAGTGAGATTATTAGAGTCTCCTTCTGTTATTTCTTTTTGATTGTTGGAAAACAAGTGTATAAAAGAGCCATGGAGTATGGAGTGGGATTTTCCTGCTGGGTCAGGTGCAGGCTCAGGGCACCACAGTAGCTATGAACTCAGGATGGGAAGGGAAAAAATCATTTTTTTAATCTCATAAATACTATTTTGGTATTTTATGGAGCCGTGTTAAATGTCTACATGAATTTTTATCAAACATGTTTGGTGCCAATTGAAATTTTTTTAAAAGCCTGTGACTTCTTATTGTGGTTTGGATTTAAGGTGTCCCACAAAAGCTTCTGTGTTAATGTAGGAAAGTAGATGATTTGATTATGAGAGTATAACCTTATCAGTCCATTTTTCTTTGAATGAACTGGGTGGTAACTGTATGTAGGTGGGGTGTGGCTTGAGGAGGTGGGTCATCAGGGGTGTGCCCTGCAAGGGTGCATCATCTTCCCTTTGGCCCTTATCCCCCCTCCTCTCTCTCTCAGATTCTTTGCTTCCATGGGCTGAGCAGCTTTCCTTCCTTCTGCCACAATGTTCTACCTCACCTCAGGTCCAGAGTGATGAAACTGGCCAAGCATGGACTGAACCTCTGAAACCATGAAAATGTTTTGGTCACAATGACTAAAAGCTAACTAACACACCACTCAATTATTATTTTACCTTTAAGGAAAGACATACTTTTTGAGTCTACCTTGTCTAGTGGCAATTCATTAATAACTGAAATCTAGGCCAAGGGTTGACATCCCCAGGGCTAGACGTGCATTTTGATTGACTTTGTTGGTTCTCTCAAAAGAGAGGCTGCCATCCCAGTCATCATTATTCTAGTTATACACATGAAGAAGTTTGAGAGTCAGAGTAGCTGGGTCCTACAGCAGTCAGTCACATAGCAAGGAGTATATATGTTAGGGCTTACACAAATGCATGTTTAGAGAAAAAAAATGCCATACAATAGCTCGATGTTTTCCTGAAATAGTTATTATCCTGAAGCAATTATTGTACTGAAACTGTGTGTGCTCGGATTGGGGTGTTGCCTGAGGGACAAACAACTTCACCCACCTCTGGAGTGGCCACACGAGGTGCCTCGTTGGCTTCACTGTCAGTCGTGCTGCTTTCAGTGTCTGAGTCAGATTCAGAGCTGCTTTCTGACTCGCTAGAGCTGCCAGATCCCCCACTGGCTTGCACTGCAGGTGGGGGCTGTGGTGTGGCCAAGGGTGGGCTGAAAGAAAAATGACAGCATTTATTATTTCATTCAGTCTGAAACTAGATGGAAAGAGCCCACTTCAATATAAAGACCTATGATCTCTGAACTACAGGCAAAGTAGAGTATACTGTACCATTTATAGACAGGAAATGTAAAGCTCCAGAGGCTCAGTGGCTGGTCCAAAGACAAAAGTTTGTTTAGAATCAGGTTGGAACTGGGCATGGTGGTGCACACTTGAAATTCTAGCTACATGGGAGGTTGAGGCAGGAAGACAACAAGTTTGAGGCCAACCATTACAACTTATCAAAACCCTTTCTCAGAATAAAATAAAAAGGACTGGGGATGTGGCTCAGTGTTAGAATACCCCTAGGTTCAATCCCTGGTATTCTTTGTAAAGGAAAAAAAAAAAGAAACAGGTCTGTGTATACCCGAGTTTCTTGGCTTCCTCACAACAGGGGCTTCCCTCCCAGAGAAGACTTGAATCCCTTCATTCCACAGGAAATCTTTAAGCCAAGGTTGTATGCTTTCTGGATGTAGATATAGAAGTAGATCCTTAGATGCTCAATTGTTACATTTACTTATTTCAGTTGAGATACTTTTTTTCATTTTCTGTTGCCATCTTTTTCAAACCCCCACAAGCCTATCTAAGGGCTCTTATCTTACCTAATCCTAGTATGGTCCCATTATTAAGGATAGGCAGGGTGAGCCCTCATTTTTATTGGAGGGAACTGAGGCCCAAGAAGGAGGAGTGACTTGCTTCTGCATCACAGCTAGTTAGAGAACGAAGCTAGCACCTAGTACCATCCCTGCTACCTCCCTCAAAGGACAGAGTCTGGGCTGAGCACATTCACTGCCAAGAGCCCAATGCTCAATAACAAGGTGAGAAGTTGGTCCTTGATTACCGTGTGTTGGGTAAGATAAGGAAATGAAAGAAAGCACTTTTTGTTTCTTTCACCACCATTTTTGTAAACTCTTTGTGAAACTCTTACCAGGAGGTATGATCCTAAGGGACCAACTGTCTCTAATGATTGATTTTAAATTTGTAAAGCTGACCAAGCAAAGCATTGGGAAAGTGACACCATTTGCTACTCTGCCTTTATTGAGAATCAATACTCCTCCTTACCAATCATTTGCTCTCTGTGCCCTGTAACAAATCAACTTCAGCTGCCTCATGGCACTCTGGGGTATGTGGTTACCTTTCTGTCCTTTTACTCATTGTCTCTTTGGACTGATTTCTGTTCTGCTTTCCCTCAGAAAAGGGGCTCATTGGAGGAGTGTTCTAATCTCCCTCTATCTCTTCAGCTCAGTTCCTCTTTGGAGATCAGTTGTGCTCATGCTAAGGGGTGGGCTGGAGGCTAATGCATATTCCTATGTCTGGCCTATCTTTCTGCCTGGCTAACCCTCTGGCCCTCCCTGCCTCTCATGCATGACAGCAATTTGCCTGGTTCTGCCACCTCACATTCCCCATATCTGAGGGAGCTATTCATTCAGGAGAGCCCAATCTTTGTCTTGGAGATGACATTGCCCTGTGACCCACTTTCAAAAGTGGAAAAGATGAACCCCAAGGATACCCCTTCCTAAGACTCTGGAAGCCACAACTTTATGCCTTGCCTGAACCCAATTAAGTTCATGTGCCCATACTGTGCCCTTACCAGAGCCTCTTCTTGAACATTACAGCTCTAATCAGTTGTGCTAGAGCTATACTAAGCTATTACTTGAGAAAGAACAAGATTCTTTTGAAGCCAGCACGTACTCCCCATCAGCTACTAATTACCAGAGAGCTTTTCCATTACTTGTGCCTCCATCCTTAAAGACTGGCCCTTAAATCTCCCAGGTAGGCATTTGATTTCATATAGTTAAAGAAAGCTCATTTTTAAAATTACACATGCTAAGTAAATGCTATCTGCAAATAGATTTTGGGGAAGCACATGAAATAAGGGGACTATATCTCCTGAGAGCCTGTGTGTGTGTTTTCACCAACAGGGGTAGAGAAGGAAACCGATAACAGTGCTCTTATTTCCCTGCATTCCTTTGCAGATCTCTCTTTAATGTCACTGATGGTTTTGTATATTTATGCAAAGTACCCTTTAATTTGAATTAATTGTTTTTATCTTTAGTTGCTAAATAAATATTGAGAGAACATATCTAAGTGAGACAAATCCAGAGATTAGGTTAATGTGGCCTCAATTCCCCCAAAATTGAGTTTCATTTATAACATGGAGTATTTGCAATACTTACAACACTGGGTGGTGGAGGAGGAGGAAAAATCTAATTTAGATCTAAATTTATGATTTTCAAGTGGAAGGCTGTTTCCTAGTATTCTTTCACAACTATGAATTAATTTCTGGCTTCATATACGAAGTTGGTCATCCTTATATTACCAAACTAAAATAGATTCTAGATTTACTTCGGGATAATTCTGGATAGAATTCTCATTTACTGGGTTATTTTGGGGCAATTTATATAAGAAACAAAATAATACCTGGGATTATTCACTCAGACTTAAAACACTGATGTTTTATTTACCAAAATCAACTCATTTTTCAGCTAAATCAAAACAAAATTGTCACAGATTTATTAGGAAACTGTGTGTGTGTGTGTGTGTGTGTGTGTGTGTGTGTGTGTGTTTACTCTTTATCCAAAGCCCTTCTGAGGACAAATGTATTTTGGTATTGAAAGTTTTAAATCTTAAAAATTAACATGGTAGATATAACATATACATAAATATATACAATGCTCCCTGTGGGATATGGGGATGCACTCCTTAATAAACCTTAATATTGCTCACAGCAACATTCACATAAGAGAAATAAACAAGTACTTTAAATACATATCCTAACATCAGTTTAGGTCAGTCTTGTTGTCAAATGAATTTGTTTCAAACATAGAAAATAATATTTCTCAGAACTCTTTGAATTTCAGAATTATGATTAAGAGATTATGAACATGGATATAAATCATATAAAATTAACTATAATTATATTTATATGTACATATAGATATAGACATGAAATAAAGACTATTTCCAACATAAGAGCAACCTTGACTGAGACCCAATGAAATGATACCTGAAATTATTTATTTTAAGATTCCTTACAGCTAAATCTGTTTTGTATGTTCCCAGGTAGAACTGGATTGCTAGTTGATGTGTACAACAACCATAGAAACTATATGGAGAAATATATCAGCCTTTCATATCCACATAGAGACACATGAGAATGAGAGGGAAGGTAGACTTTAATTCAGGGAGTACACCAGGAGAATTCACACTTGGAGTGAAGGAATTCAGTGACTTAATAAGAAAAATTGCTTTCTCAGGGCAGTTGTGCAGTTGACAGCAGGGAAAGCCAACATTTGTGGTTGTTTAAATGGAGAGAAATTCTTTCCTGAGCCCCTTCCTTTTCCTCTACTGTCCATCTGCACCCAGTCTGCTGAGGAATGCAGGCATATATGAGTCTAGGTCTTACTTCCTTGTGTCCAGCTGGGGCTATTGTACAGCCAAACTTTCAAGTTGATGAAACATCACAATATTTCACTTTCAGTTCTTTTTTTAAGAGAGAGAGAGAGAGAGAGAGAGAGAGAGAGAGAGAGAGAGAGAGAGAGAGAATTTCAATATTTATTTATTAATTTTTGGCGGACACAACATCTTTGTTTGTATGTGGTGCTAAGGATCGAACCCAGGCTGCTACTGCTTGAGCCACATCCCCAGCCCACACTTTCAATTCTTCATGAAAAATTGTTAAGCTGTTCAGCTAGATAAATTCTTACTTCTGCCATATTTTCTTTCATATGTTTATAATTTATTTTCCAAATGTATATTGAAGGGACAGTTATGGTTTGGATGTGAGATTTCCCCAAAAAACTCGTGTGTGAGAAAAGACAAGAAAGTTTAGAGGTGAAATGATTGAATTATGGGAATCTTAACTTAATCAGTGCATTAATCCACAGCACAGATAGGGACTAATTGGGTGGTAACCATAGGCAGATAACATATGGATAGAAGAGGTGGGTCATTGTGAGTGTACCTTTGGGATATATATTTTGTCCCTGGAGAATGGAGCTGTCTCTGTTTCTGCTTCCTGGTATCATGTACTGAGCCACTTTCCTCCATCATACTCTTTTGCCATAATGTTCTGTATCACTTGGGCCTGGGAGAATGGAATCAGCCATGTATGAACTAAGACCTCTGAAACTGTGAACTCCCCAATAAACTTTTCCTCCTCTATAGTTGTTCTTGTCTGGTCTTTTGGTCACAGCAGCAAAAAAGATGACTAAAACAGATATTGGTACCAGGAATGGGATCATTGCTGTAACTAACCTGACCACGTGGCTTTTGTGGAAGGAATTTTGAGATGTTAAGAGTTGTAAGCTGGAAAAGCTTTAGACTGTTATAAGCATAGCTTAATGGATGACTCTGGTGATACCTCAGAAGACTAGAAGGCCAATAGACTGAAGACAGTAAAGATAGAGCTCAATAAAGAAAGAAAACTCTCTTGGAAATTGGACTTGAGCCCATTCATGTTACTTTAGGGCTAAGAAGTTGTCTAAATTTTGCCTGTATCCTTTCTGTGATGCTAATTTTTAAGGTGATGAACTTCTTAATCTGGTGGAAGAAATTCTACACAGGATAGCACTCAGGCAGTGGCATGGATATTGCTGACAGTTTTAGCCATGGTTATTTTGATAATCAGGATCAGAAAGCAAAATAGAAAGATTGAATAACTTGCATTTTGACCAGAAGACTGAATAAAACTGGGGCTAAGGAATGTGTAGTTGTTAACCACATTATAGTCACTAAAGAAATACTAAAGATTTTGCCCAGAGACAATAGGAAATATGGTTTAAAGACAGATCAGGAATTTGTAAGACCAAACCCATCTCAGGATCAAGGGTATAATAATAATTTTTTTTTTTTTTTAGTAATTTGGTATTGGGGATTGAACTCAGGGGCACTTAACCACTGAGCCACATCCCCAGCCCTTTTTAGTACAAGGATGCACCCTGGCTGGACAGAG